TCATCATCATCATCATCATCATCATCATCATCATCATCATCATCATCCTACAAGAGTCCAAGAATCCCTATAAGAATCATCATCACACCCGTCCAAAACAACGAATCCATTGGGAAAACCACCGTCCCCATCTGCGCCGTCTGGCATCGTCTTCGGCTGGGGGAGGCCGGGGTGATCACCGGCTTGCCCTGCGGATGTCGCGCCGGGGAGTCCTAGAGCCGAAGAGCTCCGTTGGGCTTCGGATGCCGGATCCATCCGCCCAGGTCGGAGGTTTTTCAGATGCTTTGGATTGCGAGGAATTGGCTTACCAATTCGGGGTGATCCCATGGTCGACTCGTAGGGAAGAGCGCGGGGGTATCTCATGCCATTGGTGCCATTTCCAGACTCCAGCCATGGCCATGAGCCATGGATAGTGATTGATAGCACCTGGCTCAGGAGTGATTTGTTGTAGATGTGCTCAGCAGGTATCAGACTTTTCAGAGTGCATGGGACAGTAGTTCCAATTTTGATCTCCTTTTCCAGCTTTCTAGACTTGTGGTTGATTTTCTTAGGGCCGCCCTGTTTCATCCCCCAAAGCTGCATAGGGACCGTCAGGGAAAAATACACTCCTAAGTGGTGCAGGTGCTGCCAGTCAGTGAATGAACGGAGAGTCCACCTCCTGTAAAAGCAACTTGAAGCTGAACTCACTTGGATTGAAACCGCAGCCCAAACCATCATGTTTCCACAGCTGGCTAGTAGTGACGACTAAGACTCGCACTTAAACTGACCCTAAAGATCCCCCCAAAGAACTCAAAAAACCACGTCAACGCCTCACCTCCGGAGGGTTCCATCCGTCCCCAACGGCCAACACCGCACGCTTACCGCCTACCGCCGCAGTGCTGCTCCCGCCGGCCTACCGCTTTACCCGGGCGGGCTACCCGCTCTGAAGAGGCCACGGTGGCCAATGCCTTGTGGCCGGACAGTGACGAGGAGAAGTTCACCATGCCTTTGCCCAGGGGGCACCTGGGCTGATGTTCGGGGCGACGTTAGCAGCGAAGCCAATTGGTAAGTGGATCTGGAAAAGACCTCGAAGACCGCATGGTACTGGGATTTGGTTCGATTCCAGAAAATTGAGTATTGTTGCCGATTGTTGCCTGCCCTGTGGCGGAGGGCAACAACTTTTCGTATTGACACTTGGCGAAAGAATTCGAACAGTACCAGATCTTGAGGGCACCTTACGACAGAACTCTTCAGAGATACTTGTTGGCTAGCTGATTGTTCCTGCAAGCATGGAAGCTAAGCATTCCGCAAGAACAACAGGGAGCCCCGAAGTTGACAGAACTACTTGCACCATGTCGACTATTGACCCTCGATCCGCAGGTCGACTAGACGTCTCCGTTTCGCGCCACGTTTGTTCGGCTCGAGACGCCCCGCTCGAGCGGGTTCGGACTGACTCAACCGATGAGACCGACTTCGACCGAGGTCCCAACCCGTGGAGTTGGGCAGCCTCTTGTGCTTGGCGCTCATGCTGCCTTACTCCTACGAAGCAGGCATGCCGGAACAATCAGAGTTTGAGGGGGCTTTGGGGAGTCTCTTTTTTTTTTTTGTGGAGGGCCAGGGACACAAGGGACGCAAGGGACGCAAGGGACGCAAGGGACGCAAGGGACGCAAGGACAGGGCTAGAAGTTTCAAGAAACCTGGTTGAGTGGAAAAGTGTGACGTGTTTGTGGTTGTTAAGCCTTTTTCAAATCTCCACCTGGGCTTGTTCTTCTTCCATGCTTCTCGGAGAGGGGGGCCTTCTTCCTCCTTGATGCAAGCTTGTGGGTTTCCAGGTCCTCTCCCACCAAAAGCTGAAGACTGGCTGACGATGCCAGGCCTGCTCATCATGCAGTACAAAGAGCATGCTGGAATCTTTGACTGTGACGAGTATACCGTGCGCAGCCGAGAGAGAGAGAGAGAGAGAGCAATCCTGGAGGGGAGTGGGCTGGTGAGACCCGGGTTCGGCCAGACCCGGGTGGCGCCATTTGAGCCGCAGCGGGTGAGAAGCCGCACAAATAAAACACATGGGATTGGAGCCGCAGTGGATCCATTGTTTTAGACTAGAGTGGAAGATCTTTCTTCCACGCCCGACTTCAGTTTCTACTTCTTTGAGTTCTTGGTCGTGTGGTGCCTGGGAGCACAATCGAAGGAGCTGGGACGGCCTGGGCCGTTCCAAGCTTTCGAACACTCTCTCATCCACTTCTGCACAGCCCACTGCACCGAGGTCTATAGTAGTGAGTCGATGGTCCTCGCTCCTGGCCTCGAGACGAGAAAGGCGCCGCTTCCGCTGCTCGCTCGGCTCGCGGCTCCGCACCGCTCGCGGCTCCGGGGGATGGGTGGTGCCGAACCCAAGGGGGGATCTGGATCATCCTGGATCCGTGAATCCTTTGGGAGCCCTTCAGCCCAGGGTTTGCAAGGCAGACCCGGCAAACCACTGGCGACCGAAGCCGGCGATCGAGAGACACTGAGCGAAGGGCGCCGTCCGTCCGAGCATCGAGCGAACCGCCGGAGCAGCGCGGGGAGGTCGTCACTCGAATTCCCCACGATGCCCTTTGTTCCTAGTTGCGTCCTTGCTCCTAGTAGCGATGCCCTTTGTTCCTAGTAGCTTCTTGCTCCCAGGAGTGGGGTGTGTTTTGGGACATAGGGAGGGGCCCCCCTAAGCAGCGGGTAGTTTTGGGTCTAGTTCAGTAGTTCCAGAGGGTTGTTGCCTGGAAGGTCTCCCTATTTTAATACACAGCTCAACTACACCCATGATGTGGAGGTCATTATGACAAACTGGTGCGTTAGAAGGAAGTTGACTGGAACGATGTGCGTTTGGACCGACTGGGATGGTTATGCCATGTTATGCCAAAGATGATGGGTATTGTATGGTATTGTAGACTCATTGATGAATATCTCCCTCATTTGGATTCATGTGGATTGAAGAACCATGAACAAGCTCTTCATATTTCTTCCAATTTGGGTTGTTTATTCGGTTTCATGAATCAAGAGTCTACATAATAAGGGCCTCTTCACCCAGCATGGGTCGATGGTTGTTGGTCAAGTGTCCAGGATTTGATGTGACACCTTGAAAAAGAAAAATGATACCATGTGAAACACAAGCATCACCTCCAGGTGACACATAGACTCTAGAGTACGGGATGATGGGATGCTCTCCGACTTCTTTTTCCTCTCCTAGCCGTTCGGCCTTTGGGCCAGCCAGGTTCTCACCAGCCAGCAATGCGAAGTGGGAGGAGATGCAGCACACGGATGAAGTGGGAACTCCGTAGCTCTGGGTCTGGTTCAGTAAACCTTGGATCTCTCCTATTGCTGTTCAGTACAGAATTGTCACTATTCTTTAACTTGGCCTTTACCAACCATCATCCACTATTACTGGTAATCGGATAGACCCAAAGTAAACCTGCAACAGTCGGTCAACAAGAATAGCACTGTTGCAGGTGAGCAAGGCCTGAAACCTGTGAACCATCATCGGGCCCTGGTCATAGGATAGACCGCTCCACCGCTTTGAGAGAACGGCGTCAGTACCGCCTGGTGGAGAAGCCTCCAGCATACGTGGATCGTTCGGTTTGGGGTTCCCACCGTGAGGTCGAAGACCCCGAGGGCCGAAGGGAGTAAGATCAGCTGAGGTTCAAGATTCACTTGAAGATACCGACACTGAATGTCAGCCTGTTGTCACAAGAACGATCAGACACACACACACACATCGTGCAAACACACGATTTCGAGAATCAAAGGCACCGAAGTGCGGTTCGAGAACTTCGAACTTCGATGGAGGAGAGTTCAAGAGTGCGTTGAACTTGCGAATCTTCGCCAGCTTCTGGAGGCGGACGGTCAGAGAGCGTCGGTTATCGCTGTCGAATTCTCGGCGTGGAATCGGCAGATCGGCGGCAGCGGCTATCCGGTTGCTTTGTCGTGGACACTTCAGCTCCGTAACATGGAAGTGGAATAAAAGATTAGCCCTTTTTGTATAGAGGACACTTCTCTCTGTGTCGCTGCGCCATCCCCCATCCACTTCCATGATATGGTTGGAGGGAGGGTATGTCAGTCGTTGCGACGATTGAACATTGACTTCGGCTTGGGGGTACGAGCATATGTTCCATCATCGACCTGCTGTTTTCGTTTTCAGGCACCTGTCTTGTTTTGGCATGCACCTGTCTGGTGCGAAACTCGCAGTGCTGTGATGCGGTGTGCCGTTTAGGCAAGTGATTGCTGATGGCCAGTATTTGCTCTACAACTGGATTGTCAAGGCGGGTCCCAGCCGGGTCGGACAGCGGGGTCGCCACATGGGCCCGGCTCGGCGGCCCAAACACTCCATGGGAACCCTCGACCCCGTGGGACTCGCCCAAAAAAGAACGGTTACAGCGCCGAAGCCTGTGGAAGCATGTGACATGTGGCGTTTATTAGGTTTTTGTGAGCTGTTTCCAAATGAGACCTCTAAGCTAATCTGGGGCTGCCAGAGTCCAGAATGATTCCTTTGTTGTGAGACACGAAGGTTTTCATTCCAACTTATGACTCCTGACTTTTGATGAGTTTTGCAGCACGGCCTGTTAGGGTTTGGCACTAAAACTTGACTTCCCCCCCAACATGTTGGTGGATGGCAGGTGTTTGGCTTTTCATCCATCCAGTGAGAACACAGCAATTAAATGGGCCTCCCAGAAGCAAGATTCTGCGACACTAAGATTTGTTTAATTGGCTGTGGGACAAAACCAGGATACCTTGGATTAACCTACCGACGTCACTTGCGCATCCGATGTCTGCGCTTCCCATGGTCCTTCACCAATGGTGGGTACCAGGCAGTCTTGGTTGACCTACCTGGAAAGTCAAGGGACATAGTGTTGGGGCTCCAGGGTTTTGATGGACATAGCCTAGCGGTCAAACGTGTTTGTCCCGTGAAAAACCAGAAACTCGAGAGAAAGGGTCGCACACTCTTGTCTTCCAAATCCTCAGACTCTTTCCATCACAGTCCTCACTCCGTCCGTCACTCTCTCCATCACATCTCTCCGTCCGTCCTTGGGACGGTGGTTCCACATCCGTCGACGGTTCCACCCGTCGAGGTGGATCCCGACTCCGTCTTCTTCCCCCAGCGGCTTCGCCCGATCCTGCAGCGGCACGAAGGAGGCGCGGCGCCGGGGGGGGCGGGGGCCGATCCTGCGGTGAAATCATGGACGAACGACGGAAGCACCGGAGGTCGGACGGTCGAGCGGCCAATGAAAGCACCGGACGTTCGAAGAAGTATGCAGGTTGAAAACTCAACCGCGCCCTGGAGCCTGGGGAGTTTAGATACTGGCGACCTTGGAGTTAAGAATTTGAGTTGGTCGCCTGATATACTGTATTGTATATTATGCGTACATATACACATATCATATGACATATATGTGGCTCAAGCCGTTTAAGCCTCAAGCCCGAGTATAGTACTTCGGGCGAGCACGACGGCACGATCACCTATTTCCCTGAGCACTTCTTCGGCCAGTTCGAGAAGGGAGAGGTGATCCATGACCACAGGTGGCAACTGGTGCAGAGCTTATCAGGTATGTGGCGGTGGAGGCTGCTTCAACTGGATCTGGTCGGACAAGGTGCGGGAAGGCTTTGTCTGCCGGAAGTGTGGCGAGCAATGGCCCCGGCCACCTCAGGGGTTCTCCAAGGCTCCGCCATCCCGCTCACCTCAGCGGGGGCCACGACAGCAGCTCCCAGTGTCGCCCCCGCCGGGCTTGACTGCCAAGGCGCCTAAGATGACCAAGCTCCAGAAAGCCACGGCGGAGGCGCTAGCCCCTTCGTGGACCACTTTGGACCCAGCTTTGCAACAGAAGCTTCAAGCTTTGGGGATCTCGCCACCCCCTCCTTCTCCGGGGCCGGACTTGAAAGACATCCTCATGGAGAATCTGGCTCAACTCCCTTCCAATGTGCGGGAAATTGTGGAGAAGTTGACTAAGCCATCTCCGCCCACTGAAAAGGATGTGGCCTCCAAGCTCAAGACCCATGTGTCCATGCTGAAGGACCTCTCGCACAAGAAGAACACACTTCAGCAGAGGATTGACTCGACCAAGAAGGCGTACCAGGATCTTCTTGATGAAATGAAGGCCATCCAGGGCCGCATTGAGTCAGAGCAGCGCTCTCTCCAGGACACAAGCACCTCGTACATGAAATTGGTCAACTCAGCAAAGCCTGACCTTGCAGGCCTGCCTGAGGCAGGGGGTGCTGACCCAGTCCCAGCGGCCGTTGCTGGTTTCATCAACACCCTTGGTGTCAGTTTGACGGAGGATCAACAGCTTCAGCTCCAAAACATGCTAAAAAGGCCGCCAGCTGAAACTGATGAGGAAGCCAAGCGACGCCGCACCGAGGGCACGGATCAGTCTTGCGGGTAACCCCGCCCATTTGCTTCATTCATCCATGACCATTTCTCAGGGGCTTCAGACATGTCCTTTGACGCATGTCCAGTTTTCTCTTTCTGATTGTGGGGTTTGGCACAATCAATCACCTACACCTTTGCAATCTTCAGGCTCAAATTTGGGCTCTCCGCGGGGCTTGGAGAGCTATGGGCCGCAGCGCAGGAGGCCTCCTCTGAAGGTTCTTGGAGGTGGCCCTGCGCCCTTTTTGGCCACTGAGTCAGGCAACACTGGTGAGGCACCGGGCTCCTCTACCTCAGAGCGGACTCTCCCGAGTACCGCTTCTTTCGGGACCTCACCAGCGTCGCCATTGGCTCGGGTTTTGACTCAGGCTATGGAGGGTGAGAACACCTCTCGCCTCACGGATGGGCAGATCTTTCTTTACGATCTGTGCCAAGAAGATCTTCTTTCCTCATGCAGGCAGTACAGAGAGACCATCAGTCTCCGACATGGTCAACAACTTTTGGCTGACCTCAAACGTATGCAGAACATCATTCACAGACACCTCAGCCTCCCAGGAGACACCAAGCCGCCCATGGCCAATGTCTTCGTGGTGTCCCAGGTCCTGACCTCCATCCTTCTCAACCCGGACGGTCAAAACCTCTGTTTTGGCAACGCACCCTTCCGGTGCTGGTGTTGGGCTGGGGCTTTTGCCGATGATGCGGCCAGGGCGTGGGGCCACACCCACCCGGCCGTGCGGTCCTATTTGTCCGAGCCTGAACCTCAACTCCTCCCGCACCTACCTCACTCGGAACCGATCTGGAACCGTTTCCGACCGGGAGGGCAGGCCGACGCTGCGGACTTCTTGGGCTATCTTTGGCATTTTGCCGGCTCCAACTTCTTCCAAGGGAAGTTCTTTCACAGGACGGAACAGGGTCGCACTGAGGTTCGTGAGCAGATGCCATTGAACTTGTTGTTCCCTCCACGCCATGCCCCGACAGCGCTTGACGAACTAGTCAACTTGTGGAGTGATGAAGGAGGTGGGCAATTTTTGTACGGCTCACCGGATGCCCTGGTCCTTCAACTGCAGCGATTCCAATGTGTAGACGGCGCTTGGACCAAGCATTCAAGTGAACTTGACATCGGACACGACATCAACCTGCCCTTCTCAGATGATGGTCAGAATGTGCATTATGGGGCCTACAGGATAGTCGGCTTGGTTCTTCATCAAGGCGAGGATCACCTCACGGGTCACTACCAATCCATCCTCCTCATGGACAACATCATTTGGATGGCCGATGATGGGGACTTTCCTTATCCCTTGGCGGAGCTGACTGCCCAACAGCGCAGGGAGATCCTGCAGGTGTGGCTGGTCAAGGAACCGGAGGATGAGCTTGTTCCGGACACCCAGGCCGAGATGGAGGCTCCGCTTGCCAAAAGGCAAAAGAACAATCACGAGACCCTCACCTTGCTCTTTGGCAACGTCACGCACTTTGGAGCCAAGGTGCAAGATTGGACCTGGGCACACGGAGATGCCCTCCTTTTTCTTCATGAAACACATCTTGGAGAAGAAGGCACCACTAAGGCCATCCAGTACTACTCCAACAGGGGCTGGAAAGCGTATGGCCTGGCGGCCCACCCCACGGGTCAGGGAGGCACCACAGGAGGCTTTTTGACCCTGCACTCCACCAAGCATCTCACTCACCAAGGGCCTTCCTTCACCCACGAAGGCAATGGGTGGATGGCTGTGGGACTTCAGCGGCAAGGGATGATGATCTACCTCATTCAGATCTATCTCAAGACCGGTGAGACTTTGCAGTCAGCAGCCAACTCTCTCATCTTGAGTAAGCTTTTGGCTTTTCTGCACCAATTGCAGGCTCCCTTCATCATCGGGGGCGATTGGCAAAACGAGCCGGAAGCGTTGGCCTCCACGGTCATTCAAAGCAAGTTCCGGGCCACTATTGTGGACACTCAAGGCAATACCACTTTGCAGGGCAGTCAATTGGACTACTTGATGGTGGCCAACTCCCTCGTGGGCTCCATCCACCTCCAGGCTTTCTGGGAAGTGCCCTGGCGTCCTCATTGTGCCTTGGAACTCAAGTTGAACTGTGTGCAGCCGGCTTAGCCTGTTCAACAGCTACAGCGATTTCCTCCCATTGGTCGCACTTTCCAGCTTCCACACCTGTGGACCAGTTTCTCAGAGGATAACGGCCCTTTCCACATCATGGATGATCTCATCACTGGGCTGGGTTCTGATTTTGCACGTTGGGCCACGCAAACTGAGAAGTTCATCACTCAGTTGCTGCACAAACCCACTTTGGGTAGGGGCTCCAACATCTCGCTTTACCACACGCCCCTGGTTGACACCACCTCCTCCAAGAAATGGCTCAGGGGAGCGGCGGCTTTCTGGGAAAAGCTCAATGTCCGCATCAACGTGGCACATCACATGGGGCACAAGTCTATCCTTGAGGACATCCGGCATATGCTCTTGGACCTCCAGCACTACTGCTCTGAAGACTTTCAGGCCGACATCTTCCGGGCCCTGCTCACCCAATGGTTGGACACGCCCTCACAAGACCCTTCGGCGTTACGGGCATTGATCCTGGAGCAAGAGCAACATGCGCAGCAACAGGCACTGCAATCCACCAGCATTGAGTTTCAAGAGTGGCTGGCTAAAGCCCACCAAAAGGGTTTGCGAGGACTCTTTCGCAGCCTTCGTCAGAGAGATCAAGCTTGGCAGCGCCCTTTTCAAGATCTTCCAGCCCTTGAACGCATCACTGCCAGGGAACAACAGTGGGGAGGCATATGGGAACCCTTGGCCGAACCAGTGGCCCTTCGAGGTTTTGACCAGCTGCGTCAATTGGCTCAACAGGAGGCAATCACATGGAAGCCGATTGACTCATCCCTTCTGCAGAAGCTCCTCAGGCGCCTTCCAAACAAAGCAGCGGGACCTGACGGCATCTCCTACGACATGTTGAGGCACCTTCCGTACCCTGCTGTGGCCCGACTTGCTAGTCTTCTCACCGAGATGGAACGCGAGGCTCTTCTGCCCATCCAGATGCGCTACACCAACATTGCGCTCATCCCGAAGAGCTGCAAAGTCGAAAGGCCCATCGCCTTGACCTCCTGCTTGTACCGTGTTTGGAATTCCTACAGGAAGCATGACATCCACAAGTGGCAGTTGACCTTGCATAAGCCTTACCGTGGGACCAAGCTCGACCTCACCGTCCATTGCAGTGGGGAGGATGCTAAAAGCTGAGATCCGGAAACACCAAGGAATCCACACGGTCACCTGCCTCGCGGACCTTTCCTGTTTCTATGACACGGTCAACTTGGATCACATCATCGAGCCTGCCGCGGCCTTGAACTACCCTCCGGTTCACCTCAAGCTGGCCTTGGATCTCTACCGGGGGCCCAGGCTCATTCAGGCCGAAGGGATTGCTGGCAATCCCACTCACTATGCCAAGGGCATTCTTCAAGGTTGCCCGCAGGCACCGGCCATCAGCAAGCTCATTCTCTACCGTCCGCTTCAAGCTTTGCAGAGGGAACATCCGGCTGTGGCCCTTCAGACATGGGTGGACGATGTCTCCTTTGACATCTGCGGCTCAGATCCCGACTATGTCGCCAGAGAGGCAGTCTTGGCTTACCGCACCTTGAGGGAGCACCTCACTCAAGCTGGATTGAAGGTCAACACCGACAAGACTGGGTTCATTTCCAGCAGCAAAGAGACCGCCAAGGCCCTTCAGATTTTGGTGACAGATCAAGACCCTCAGCACTACAACGTCCTCCGGGACCTGGGAGTTGATGCCACTGCTGGACGCCACCGGAGGGTTGCACAGGTTAAGAAGCGATTCCTCAAAGGGCGAGGGAGGGCTGGCATTCTTTTCCGCCTCAAGCTGCAGAGGAACATCCGCTTCAGGCTCCACAAGAGCGCCATCCATCCAGTGATGTCTTGGGGGGCTCAGGCCAACGGTTTGGCCCCACAGAGACGGCAATATATCAGGGTGACAGCCGCAAGGAGCCTCCAGCTTCAGCGCTCTGGTTCCGTTGACATTGTGTATGACATGAACCAGCAACATCCGGACCCGGGAGATTCCATCATTGAACAGCATTTGCACTCGGTCTGGAAGATCTACCACTCCTTTGATGAGAGCACCCAGCACCTTTTCTGGACCAGCTGGAACGTGGCTTTGGGCGCTCTTCAGAAAGTCCGATATCGGTGGCAGGTTGTCAACGGCCCACTTCAGGCCCTACAGGCTTACTTGCTCGACTACGACTTTGATTTGTCTGATGGGCACGTGTGGAAGAGGACCGGCTATGGTGGTATCCCGGACTGTCACCTTAGCCTGACTGACTGCTGGCCCATTCTGCAGTTCAAGCTCAGAGCTGAATTTCGTTGGCAACGCCTCCTCCGTATCACCAGGTATGAAGGCTGCCATGACTTGGAGAGGGTCTTGGATTGGCAAGTTAGTTTGACCTTGCAGAAGATGTCGGGCGACACTCTAGGCCCGGGCCTCCGAGCCCTCCATCAGGGAACCCTTCACGGGCAAGATGGCCGCTGCCCCTTGTGCGGGGATGAGCTCACCTTCATCCACCTCCTTTGGCAGTGCAGCTTTTGGCAGGGCAAAGCCAAAGACCTTCCTGATCAGTGGAAGGAGCGTTTGGCAGCGGGCACCGAACCTGAGCTCTGGCAGCGGGGTCTCGTCCAGTCCATCTTCTACATCCAGGAGGGAGGCTTGGGCACTTTCCAGGTGGATGGTCTCTGGACGCCGGATGAGGCCTTTGACATCCCCAATGGCCATGCTGTGTCCTTGGCGGTTGCTCCCACTTGCAAGGACGTTCGCCACAAGAGGTTTGTCTTTGTGATCTGTCTTCATCATGTCTTCACTCGCAAGCTGGTCGCCACCTTCAAGGGCATATGCCCGGGGCAGGCCACAAGGAGCAGGGCTGTGTTTTATGCTTTGAAACACTTGGCACTCCACAGCAAGGAGAAGCTCACCATTGCCATTTATGACCATGCCGTTTGGCGGGCCTGGCAAATGTCTCGAGCCTACGAATGTTTTCCGGACCTTTTTGAAGGCCTTGAACCGGATGACTTCACCCAAGTTCGGCCCTTGCTGTTTGGGAAGAAAGAACTCGACCCCAATGCAGCACGGCATTTCTTCCAGCAAGAGGCTGAGAAAGAGGCCAAAAAGTTCGCCAAGGCCTCCCGGAATGAAGACATTCTGGACTTGCAAAAGAGCATTGATGAGGACACCAGGGACATTTTGTGTGTCGCCGCTGGCCGGATGAACACACTCCTCAGGGACAAGTCCCACTTCTTGCACAAAGGGGACCAGCAGGAGAAGTCCCAGAAGGTTCCCTTGATTGCCCAAAAGAAAGAGCTCCTTCAACAGTTGCTTCAACGGCCGGACACAGGTGGACATTCTTGGCGGGCTTTTCGCTCAGGAGCCCAGTGCTCTCAGTGCAAGCAGAGGCTGCACTCGAAAAGCTTGGTCGGCGATCTCAAAGGTGCCCTGGCCTCCACTTGTCAGATGGCTACTCCCAAGACTCCTACCAGGCGCACTCGCTTCGAGGTGATCAATGATCTCATTGCTGCCCAGTCTGGTGTGCAACGTGGAGTGCACCACTTGCGGCTTGAAAAAGCATACCTGCGCTGCTCAGAGTGCCATGACTACATACTTGCACGATGTCGGGAGGACGCTTTTTGCACCTTCGTTGGTGCCCCGTGCAAGGTGGGACCTTTGGAGCCCTCTCTGTGGGCAGGGCACCCTTCCCACACCATGGAGAGGAGAGGACAGACGGCCACCTGCACCCGCTGTGGTGGCAAGGCCAAGTTCGTGGAGGAGAAGCTCGACCTCACAGAGCGCCTCCGCAAGCGCTGTGTAGCCCAGCAATCAAAGGATTTGCGGGCGTGGTTCACGTGAGCACTCTTGCACAGAAAAGGCGTGCAAAAAAAAAATATGACATATATATATGTACTCACATACAAGTGTCCCGCACATACTCAGGATGTGAATGTCACTTAGTCCTATGGAACCCTAACACTGGCGGCCAATTTTCCGAACCATGTCGCACCGCCGCACCCGTCGCGCCCCAGCGGCCACACCAGGTTCGATGAGCACCGGCGGCCCAGGCGGAGCGCCACCGGAGCGGCGACCGGAGCGCCACGTTTCGAGGTCCAGTTCGACCAGTTGCCCATCATGTGCTATCCATGTGTTCGGAGTAGGGCCTGGTCCTAAGGATAGGGTGCCCATGATATTTGAACTGGATAAGTCGTCGACATCAAACCATCTCCACATGGAACTGTTTTTTTGATCACGAGAGCCCAAGTCGGAGCCCGGGTTCTTCTTCTCACCGGAGCCCAAGTCGGGTGGGACATGGTGGTCGGTGTTTGTTGTTTTTGCTGTGCACAGTGCTGTATGGTTGGTTGCTCACCTGTCACACGATACGCAGACTTGGGGCCAAACGAAAACCGAAGACAAATAAGTGGGATGCAGCCTCTGGGAGTAGTACAATGAGTCTATAATTTCGTGGCCGTGTTTGAAATGAGAACCGGTTTTTCTTTCTTCTGGGAGCCGGTTCTAGCGAAGAGAATTGAATCTCTTGGCAGTGGCAGTTGATACGACACACCCCAAACGAATGAATGACACACTTAGCTTGGTGCTCGCAAGAGCTGAGTCATTGAGTGAAGTTCCACTTTAGTGATGACAATACCGATCTAGAGCGCTGAAACCTGAACCTGTCAATGGCCATGTGCAGAACAGAAAGGCGAGGAGGTCAGCCTAAACAGTATTGTTTAACCGAAACTGCATGGATGAACTCAGCAGGTACGCCAGGATGGCCAACCCTGGTATCTCGTGTTCAGACTAGCTTCGTTGGGCGTAGTCATCTGAACACGCTACGCCCCCCTGCATGTGTTGGACGGTCCATTCAAGGTGAACTAGGTTGTGCAACATCCTTGGATACAGACAAAAGGCCGGGAGTCCGGCGCGCTCTCTTCTTTCTTCGCGGGTGGGGGTGAGGGGGGAAGGGAGTGCGTTGACTAAACGAGCCTGGATGTCCACCTAACAAGCGTGAGAGAAAGAACAAGGCAAACGAAAAGGCAAGAAAAGAAGAGAAAGGTGCAGGGGGTGCGGGGGCCTAGGGTGGGGGTGTGGGGGTCCTTGCCCGAAGGCGTGACAAAAAGCCGTAACCGGCACTCCCTTGACTGAAAAAGCCTCCGTTACACCTAAAGAGCCTCTAGAAAACGAAAAAAGGCCCAGAAAACGAAGAGCGACAGCAGGAAGGAAAGAACAGAAAAGTGAATACTTAGCCGCATGTGTCCCGCCTCATGACATGTGTGCACATGTGACTACCTAGCTGCATGTGAGGATCCGGTCTGGAGTTTTATCTCAGTAAGCCCTGCGGCATTCGATCGGCTATCTCGTGCTAAACCGCAAGCTAGTGAGAGTCGGAGAGAAGGTCACGGGAAGAGAATAGAAACGATCAGTGAGGGTCCCCCAAGTCTGGGTCTATGCACATGCTGCGCCCCTCGATGGGGATCACACCACAGCCCTCAGTGGGACTCTGTGGCGGCGCGCACTTGGCTTGGTGCTCGCGAGAGCTGGCTTCGTTGGGCGTGGTCGTCTGGCTGCGTGTGTTGTACGGTCCATTCAAGGTGAATTAGGTTCATCCTTGGATACAGGGGCTAACACACACACACATGCGTCGCACCCAGTTCGGTGATGTTGGGTGTTCTTACGACTTAACCATGGCACAGACATGCTTGATCATGCTTGGACCTCGGGTTCCGAAGCTGTTCAGCAGACACGGATTCGGCAGCTTGTTCGGGGTTGGACGACTCGAGCGTAGGTTCGCTATGGCGCGGAACATGGCAGGTACTTACTTCAACAACTGCAAGTTTGGCATGCATGGCCCGTCGGGTCGCTGAGTGCGAAAAAGAGTGAAAGCACGACAGGGTAGGACGACTTGTGACAGGACTGGATGGGAAGCTAAGACGCCGGTTCTGATTGGGTTCTTACTGTAGATATCCATATGCCTAATCTGTACCATAAGCTGTACAGGCTCTTGAAGAGTGGTTGTTGAGTTTTCAGAAGATTCCCGATAAAGAGGTTCTAGAACGGATAGAAGGGCTGTTCTTCTACTCCACTACGGAACGGTGGCTTTACCAATTATATATATACAATATATATGTGGCAGACTCTGGCAGTGCATCACTATGTGCTACTCCCTAGCTAAACTCCATAAAACTCCAACCCATTTTTTCCCTTCACCCTTTTCACAAACTCCTTCAAATTTGTGTTTTGGCATCTTCGACAGATTGACGGGATCTGACTGTCCTGTTTCGATCCGTCTTGGTCACTCGGTGGTCAGATCCACTGAATGGAATCCACCGCTGTCTTCACACAGTCGAAGGCACAACCACCGCACAGTTCATGCGGCAACGGCACACATGAACTGCAAGAAACCACCGAACAGCCACATCCCAAAACCACCGAGCAGGACACCAGAGTGGACACAGGAAAGGAGTAGGTATCCGATCATCAAACCGAACTCCATGAGACCTCCATGTGGCCCATGAACTCCCGGACGCCGAGGTTGGAAGTCTTCTCCTTGGCCACCATCCGCGCACTGGGCACCAGCTTCCTAGGTGTTTGGGTCGCCCGCAAACGCCGCAGTGTTGCGATGGCCTCGACGAGTGGGGAGTGATTCTGGTAGGATGTTCAAGGATTCAAGATCTGAATTGGATTTTTGAGGATTTTTGATGGCTTGTGACATTTCTGCGTTTGATCTTTTGGATTTGGGGATCCATCGACAGTTTCTTGGGATGTTAAGCAAGTCTGATCTCGCTTTCAATTTTGAAGTCAAGTCAAGTGCGGTGAGTCTGAGTTCACGCGGATTTGGTGTTGCTTTTTTCAATTTCATCCACCACGTGGAATTGAATAGCCACAAACCCTTGTCCTTGAAGTGAACTGCCTACAAAAATGAACACTGAACTGTGGGCAGCACAGCAATCCTCCTCCCAGCTCCATATATCACCAGTGTGGGGAAGTTCTGGACATCAGCGCAGAGCTTTGCACCGCTCCACCATTTTGTGGCGGAGTGGCTCCTCCCAAAAGCATCCCAGTTCAATGAAGAGTGCGTTGGCGCGGTGAACATCTCAGAGCATCTCGGAGGTTGCTTTAAGTTCTTCCAGAAGCTCTGCAAGGGTGACTGCCAGTGGGGCGAGGACGGTTTTTTCTTTTTTTCTCGGAAGGGGTAGCCATGGTGGGTGGAGTGGTGTAGATTGTAGAAACGCAGGTTTTTGTGAGGGTAGTGATATGTAAGCATTAGCAAATGTAAAGCAGCTTCTCAAAACACTGGACAAACCAAAAAATCCAAAAAAACAACAAGTTCAGACCCAATGGACAAACCAAAACAGCAAAAAAAAGAAGTTCAGACCTATGTCTCCTGTCCAGCCTCTCCTGAGTCCCTCTCCATGCGTCTGAACTCTTTTTTTGTTTTGGTTGGTCTGTCTAAAAGTGTTCCCCCCAAAAAACAAAAAACTACCAAACAGTTCAGAGCTATGTCTCCTGTCCAGCCTCTCCTGAGTCCCTTTCCATAGGTCTGATTTTTTTTTGTTTTGGCTGGTCTGTCCAACAGTGCACACAAACCCAAAAAACAAAACATATAAACAGTTTAGACCTATGTCCCCTGTCCAGCCTCTCCTCACTCCCTCTCCAGGTTTGAAGTCTGTGTTTCTTTATGTTTTGGCTGGCCTGCCCAAAAGTAGACAAAAAAACTGACAAATCAGACCTATGTCCCCTGTCCAGTCTGTCCTGAGTCCCTCTCCATGGGTCAGAGTTTTTTTTTGCAGTGTCTTTTGTGATTTCTTTGTTTCTTTTTGGTGTTGGTTTTCTCAAGGTTTTGGTTTGATCCTGGAATATTGCTGATTACCAGCATTTATTTCTCATTCAATTCTATTTAACCCCTAAGTCAATTCCAATTTAACTCTATGAATTTTAACTACCCGCTCTCTTTTTTTTTCAAGCGGATTTGGTGTTTTTGCCGTTCGCAAGGTGTTTGACCTGAGTCATGCAGCATGCACCTGAGCCTTTAAGAATAGTAACAATTGGTGTTCTTTTGACGACCAGAATCGTTAGACAATCTGAATTCATTCTCAGCATGAACAAGAATGGAATCGAGCTCTCGCTCGGTCAGAAACATCAGCTTCCCGGCGGCCTGGACATGGTCCTAACGCTGCCGAGCTCGCTGGTGGACACGAGAGACACGAGAGAAGCCTCGCGCAAGTGCAGGGTTGACTCATCCCAAATTCTCACTTCCTAACCAACACACTAGTGTGATTGGTTTCTCCAAAAGCAGCGTCTGATCTCGCTACGAAAGAGCAGGACCATTCCACCAACCAGGTGACCAACCCCACTCTCCCTGGCGGCCCAAACGCTTTCTTCCCTTCACATGGTCTGCCTTGCAAAAGCCTCCAACACCATGCCCACAAGTACGCGTACTCACGACTTCGTGTCGAAACGCGAACGCGAGTAACTCGCGTAAACTCGTTCAGACCTCGCCAGGACATGTGGGTGGACCAATGTTTGAAGCGCTTTGTGAAGGCTCGCCGGCTCTTCGAGAAGAATCTCCTCCTGGAAGATCACTGCGATCCACCCAAAGGCCGGACCGACGTGTTGGTGACGATAGGAGTGAGACGGTGACGGGTGAGACCCGGCGAAGATCGGAGTGACGGTGACGGGAGAACATGGGAGGCTCGATTTTTTTGAAGCAAAGTTCGGTCAAACGCTTTGAGTGATAGGTGTTTTGTTTTGACCAAGCACGTCAGACGATTTAAGTTTTGTGGGCTGGAGCAACTGCTTCCCAGACTGCAGTAACTGTAGAGTTATGACCGTATGACGTCTGCATTTCTGGGAAATTCCCTTCAATCCGCCCAACAGGCTGGAAGGATTGCAGCGATCCGCGCCGTGTGGCGTTTCATCCCTTCAAAACGGATGCTTGGCGGTGTTTGGCGAGACCCACCGGTGGTCGTTTGGGAAGTTTGGGACCCATGCAGATACTGCCAGAAGTTTCAGGTTTCAAGGCGAGCTGAAAATCACTGTGTGTGCCTGGTGCCTCCTCAGGAGGGGTTGCCGTTGCTCAGCCACAGCCGCTGTTGTTCAGGGGCGCTGGGACGAAGGTGAGTCATCCTTTCTGGAATGAACCTGCCATGTGGGAGAGACCATCTGGAACGAACGGTGAAGCGGTGTACTGCAGAGCCTCCCCAAGCTCTATACAATAGAGGTATTCTTGAAATAGGGGACCCTATTCAGAACCCTGGAAAGAGAAGAAATCGACCCTATTCAGAACCCTGGAGAGTCTCATCATGTCTGACCGAATCCCACCGTCTTCCATGACGGGATCCCATGGGATCCCATGGGGGATTCCCATCAAAGAACGGTTGAACCGCACAGCGCGAAAAGGTCACCGACCATCGCGTTTGCATGGAAAGTGCACACCTGGCATCGCTGGAAGCCTGAAGGCAAAGTACTTCAGGCGGGTCGAGCTTTTTTTCCCACGAAAAAATATGGTTTTTGGAGCCCTCGAATCAAGCTTTTTAGAGGCCCAGCTTGTATACAGGAAGCTCATGGAGAGTGGATGCACATGCTGGGTGTGTTGCACTTCCATGATTGCCTGAGTTGCCAGGGCTATCTTGTTTGAGTTATGGACACCCACATAAACTGAAGAGAACGAGACTTACTGTCAATAGGGATGAGGTCCCAGTATAGTCGCTATACAGGTACATGCCATACACTTTTGGCTCAAGTGCCCAACCAGGTAAAAAGGAGCTTTAGCGCGCGAGCCTCATGTTGAACTAAAGGCTAGAACGGGGCCAGGGCACACCTTTCCATCCGTTCGCAGGTTATCAGCCGTATCCAGACTCCTTTGAGCTGGGTACGAGCTGCGGCCTTACACAACACCATCTAAACGCACACGCATCGGATAGATCAGTTACCATCAGTCACTGAAGATGGACCAATCCGACGCCAGCACTGCATCTTTTGGAGCAGCTGCTGCGGCCGCAGATCGGATGAGTGCATCCCACAACTCTAGTCCAGGTACGATCGAGGCGGAGACTCTGACAGCGGTGAGAGAAGACGCGACAGGTAGAACACGAAGTCGTTCCCCGTCAGCGCACTCGACACCACCGGGGGGGACACCGAGATCAGGCCGTAGCCCTAGGGAGACAAGGAGGAGGACTGACACCGGAGCTGTGAGAGTGCTAGCATTGGAGGATGGGTCAGCTGTACCAGTGCCGTCGGACAGCGAAGCTGGAGATGGAGCAAGGGCAAGCACTGACAACCTACAACTAGCACGGGCCGATGGAGACCTGAATGCGAAGTGTGCGCAACTACTTGCCGAAGTGCATATGTTGAACCACCAAAACGCATGGATGGTCGAATGTGAGCAGAGACAGAACCAGATTATACAACACGAGACCGAAGTCCACGAAGTAGTGATGGCACACCTCGAAGAATGTTATGTCGAAGGATATGGAAATCAACGAAGAATCACCCAACTTACAGAATCCAGAGACTGTTTGCTCTCAGCAGCACACGACCTGCAATATCAGATGGACACTGATCGTGTGGCAATGCGGGATCGTCTCACCCAGTTAGGGGAGTACGCTGATCGCAACAGCGCAGAGATGGTTAGTCAAGTTGTGAACATCGGCACGGAAGAGATCCAGGCTATATCGGCAGAAAGAGATCGAGCCGTAACCGAGGTCATGACTACAATCGCAGATGCTGAGAACGTCAAGGACCTGTGTAGACAGGAGTTAGTTGGACTACAAAGGCAGAGTGCCAGAAACAAACACGAATATGCTGAAGAGATGAAGATGAGGGAAGCGATGTATGCAAGCAAGATCAAATGGTTATCAGAAGAGAATGAGGAGCTCAACAACCGATCTAATACTCAGGACAAGTTCATCTTGAGCATCAGAGAGCAATTGAGGAAGGCGAACGAGGAGTTGACTCAGACGAGGATTCAAAGATCCGATCGACATTTTCAACCATCCAGTGCCGAACTCAAGAAGGCCGAAGTCAAGGTGAACATGTTGGAAGAGGACATTCTACGTAAAGAGAGGATGCTGAAACGTCTTCAGGAAGAATTGATCGAATCAAGCGCAAGTGAAGCACAATTGAAGGTCGCACTGAAGTTGAAACCGCCAGACATGGGATCAGAACCCAGTGTGGAGAGTGAGGTGATGACCAAGCTTAGAGCGGAACTTGAACGTACTGAAAAGTCATTAAGGTCCGAGGAGAAAGAGGCAATTGAGTACTACGAAGGTATGATGCAGAACCAACAGGACATGATGGAATTCGAAGCGCATGCATCACGGCTCAGAGATGAGAGAAATAAGTACCGGAAGAGGTACGAAGAGGAGCGCATGAGTGCAGAGAATGCAGCCGCAACCGAACATGGTGCCGCTTCATCCTCCAGCTCAGGTGGCTCCAAGATATCTCGGAAGGAACACGAGAAGATCAACATCCCTGCATGGCCCAAGATACACGACCTGGAGGTTTGGAAATCCCAGGTTGTAGCGGCAGTCGTGACGGCATCGGGCGACGAGAAACAAGAAGATTGGATCCAATGGCTCTCGGATGCCTTCAGATCACCATATGACCCATTTCTACTCGAGACATCAGGCGAAGCAAGATTCGCTAGCATAGACGCTAAGCTAGGTATCACCCTACATACGATCATCCACGCAGCAGGTGAGAGATCTCATGACGTACAACTGAAAGTGAGGCAGATGATGCAGAGACGTGCGAGAGGCACAACTCCTGGGATGGTCAAGGGACGAGAAATGTTAGCGTTGATCGTCGACAGTTTCCGGAGTGCCGACAACGTCGATGTGATGTATGCATCCAAGCATTTATTCGATCTAAAGTTCCCTGGGGATAATCAACTATCCAGATTCCTTGGACAGTGGGATGAGATCATATCAGGTATGGATGCGGATGACATGCTTCCTGACAAAGCACTTCGCAACCTGCTTTGGGATAAGATTAAGGATTCCAAGGTTATGGCGTTAGACTTGTCTGTGTACGACAACATGTTGGATAAGGATCCGGATAAGACCTACCAGAAGTTACGAGAGATCATGGCGAAGTGGATACGGAAATCGATCGAGACCACAAACAAGAAAGAAAGGGAAAAAGCTTTTGGGAACCTCGTGAAAGCCACACCAGCGGCGGAGAAGAAGGACCCTAAAGCGAAACCCAAGAATACCAAGGCCGATCCACCGAAACATGACGCCGCTCCAGTACTTCCTCAGGCTAATCCGAAGGACCACAACAAGAAGGATAAGAAGCAGGATCGGGGAAGATCAACCACGAAGAGCCCAAAAGGGGATCGTGGCAGGTCAGCGACTCCAGCGGATACGTCCAAGATAGGATACGCCTTCCACTTCCATGGGAAAAACGGATGTTCTAGAGGAGACAAATGCAAGTTTAGTCACCAAGAGAAGCACAAAAGTTCTGCCAAGAAACCAGAAAGCCTCAAGGGTGACAGATCAAAGAGTCCTGGTGGCAGGAGCAGTAGCCCTAAGCCAATGAAGGATCAGGTCTGTTGGAATTGGCAGAAAGGATCGTGCAAGTTCGGGGACAAATGTCGACGTCAGCATCAAGCTGCTCCTGCTACAAAACAGGAGGCTAAAGGCAAAGCCAAGCCCAAACCGGCTGCGCCAGCCTTCATGCTTTGCGGAGACATCGAGAGTGATGACGAGGACGTACAACCCGCACTTCCTAACGTACAACAAGGTGAGCTGGCGCTTCGCTTTAAAGTCAGATTTGATGACCAGGCGAACGTGACCACGTTCACCTGCGATCCTGGTAATGAGCTAAACATCCGTCCCCTCAGGAAGAAGAAGAATGAAGTGCAGAAGGTGGATACCGAGTTCATTTCGTCGTTGAGAGCCCTCAGAGTGAGCAATATAGCTGCACGAGTAGCACATGCCAAAGGTAAGATGATGGAGCTATTCTCTGCTGAACACATTGCCAAGGCATGGATACAAATCACTCAAGATGAAGGAATCGAGGTGAACGTCGACCTGTCTGATTTCAACACCAGCGAGGTAGTAAGGAAGGATTCTGTCAACTACACGATACCAGGAGACACGATGTTCATGGCTGTGGAGAGGTATGATGGACCACCAATACGCTTCATCATGGACACGGGATGTGGACACGATTTGATCTCAAGAGAGAAAGTCAATGCCATGGGCCTTACCACCATGGAAGGACCCAAATCCGTGAGCTTCATGACAGCGAATGGTGTAACCAGTACATCAGAGATGGTGGACATCAATGTGGACGAACTACCCATGAAGTCCGAGGCACACGTGTTGGAGAGCACACCATCAGTCTTTTCCATCGGGAAACGGTGCATGGAACAAGGGTACTCATTCATATGGCCGGCAAATCAATTGCCATACCTCATCGACCAGAACGCGAACAAGATTCCGCTATCGGTGCATGACAACATACCCTACATCAAGGTGAATGATGATGACGGGAGATGCTTACCAAGACCAGACGGCTTGGCTACGATGCTTCATCGCATACTGTCAGGTGTGGGGCATGAAGACGAGGCCACAGCAGGTCAGGAGACACAACAAGAGGAACTTCCGCCCAAGAAACCACGGAGACGGAGGAGAAAGAAGAAAGATAACCAGAGAGATCGGAATGGTGAATCTGATATCAATCCAGCTGTTGCAGGCGTCGAAGGAGAACCAGAGGGACACGGTGATGACTCTCCTGAAGAGGAATATGACGGGGAAGACCCGAGATTCGATCGTGATCACGATGGTCAACCTGAAGAAGCCGGAGACGACGAACATGGAGGTGATGCGGATTCTGAACGAGAGGAGAGTGACATTGGTGAAGATGAAGAGGGACTATTGGAAGTCGATGTGGTTGACGGGGAAGCCAGACTATCAAAACCAGGAGTGCTGAAGAACGAGGCGAAATCCATATTGCACTTGATGACGCACCGATACAAGAACCCATACTGCAAGTCATGTGTGAGAGCAAAGATGAAGCACTACAAGACTAGCAAGGGAGCTTTCAAACGGAAATTGAAGGCATTCGGTGACCTTATCACTTTCGATCTCATGAACACTCAGAAGATGGCGAGAGATGGGATCATGCCGGATAAGGATGTATTGGTGATTCGAGATCGGTTCACTGGTATGATATGGGGCTATCCATTGAAAGCAAGCAATAGTGACGAAGTGGTGCAGGCAATGAAGCACTATATCGGTAAGAGAAAGGTCACCAATGCTTACTCGGATGATGCGCCACAATT